CATAAAAAACCAAACAAAATCTTCTTTGCATTCACACAACTTTGCATATTTATTTTATCTTGTATATTATTTATTCCAATATTTGTACATATTCAATTTGGTTGTAATAGATTAATTAGATTTATATTATTGCAATCCCCATTCATAAATTGTATACCCCCCTCGCAATTTATCGCTTTTATATAACATGCTAGTAATTAGAGTTTGTATGGTAAGATAAAACCAATCAAATAGAAAACCTTAATTCAATACAAAATCAAGCATGAAAATGACATACTTGCACACAAACACCCCTAGGGTTACTCCACTTGGTTGCCTTATACAAAATGGTCATATTACGCATGTAAGGTATCTTAGCAAAAACAAACAAATATAAGATCATACTCCCTCGATGACGCTATTCAAAGTTGCCTTACAAAATGATCTTAGTCCCTCAAAAAATGCTAAGATACCTTGCAACATTGCTAATCATGGTTATACGATGACCCACGACCGTCTCGTTTACATCCAAAGATAGGGTTGCTTACCAAATCAATGTTAAGACAACAATATCAAAGGAAAATAAAATGAACATGAAAGACATTTGAGTAAGTTGATTAATTTTAGTTACTTGCTCCATTTCAAACAAATATCCTTGCTATTTTCAAAACAAACACACACATTTCCAAACATCTTGCTAACATTGAAAACATTTTTCAAAAAGACAAACATCTTTGTATATATTCTCATGAACAAGAATCATTACAAAGATTGCCTAAACGATGGCCTATTTTACAAAATACTTTCAAAAACCACACAAAGCACAATTTCAAACAAAAGCAAGTGGTCTAGCAAGTAACTAAGAGCCCATGGAAAACCATGGATGAAAAGGGTGCTAATACCTTCCCTTTTCATAATCTACCCTCCGAACTCAAGAAATAATCTCAAAGGTCTTTCCTGTGCTTTTTCACCTTTCCTTTTGGATAAAAGAAAAGTCGGTGGCGACTCTTGTTAACCGCAACATTTGCGATCAAACGCAAAACAATCAAGTCAGTTCTCCCACCGTATCACACTACTACATCTTTCTTTTATGTTTTGGGGAATGATATGGCTATTTCTGGGATTAATAGCGAGAAGAATGGTGTTTTGTAAGACAGTGGGGCTGGCTACAGCACCAAGGTATACATAAGGCTTTTTGATAGGGGCAAGAGACTCTTTGATAGAGTCAAGAGGTGGAAGGCACATGAAGCTAACCAAGAGTTGTGTTTCCATATGTGATATTGCTAGTGTGCAATATGTGTTTCCATATTTTAAATGGCCTAAGTGCAATGCGAAGTGTTCTCTGTGGTTCTATTGTGCACATTACTCTGTTTTCTTTTTGTCAATATTTTGGCTAAAAAGGGGGAGTAAAATGTTGCGTCCTCATGTTACATCACATGTCTTGACATATTTTTTAGCATTGTGATAGGAAGGTATGCTATTGCATGTGGGAAAGTAGCTATGTGTTTGGTTGCTTATGCAATCAATAAGGGGGGAACATGAGTTTTCATGCTTGTGTGTGTGTTGAAGGAGTTGTTGCTACTTCTACTGATCCGCTGTAGGTGCTCTGGTATGGGTTTTATCCTTAAGGGGGAGAACCTATTATGTTTGACAGGGGGATTTCTAAACCTGCATGTATGTACAAGCTTTTAAGTCGTGCTTTTATAAAGTTTACATGATCAACATGTAGCTTGTTTTGTGGTTTTATTCCTCTCTCCAAATGAATTTGGTCTTCGATTGTTTTAGCCAAACTTTCCAAAGGGAGAGATTGTTAGTTCCATGATTCTATGGTTGGATAAATTTTGGCTAAGCATGGTACTAAACATGGTTCTATGTTGATATTGAGTAAGATGGTTCCACATCTTTATCAATTGACATAACATGTTATGTTGATATTGAGTAAGATGACCATCTTTTAAGAAATAAGCATCTTTAAGTGAGAGCATGCCCGACACGTTATGCTTCCAGACAAGCTGATCAGAAATATTTAATGCAGCAGGAGGAACATCCAGAAGCCGCTGAACTAGATTGGGAAATCAACCAAGCCAAGAAACTAGAATATTACAATGGCCTTCCAAGATTGGATCCAAAACAGAAGCATCAATGTTAATGCCTTTATCAATTGGAAAATCCCAGGAGGTGAGGTGATGGAGCGGCGGCCAACACCAGGAGTCAGACCAGAATTTGATTTGTTTACCATTTCCTAAACACCAGTTGGTATTATGCTCAAGAACAGGAAGCTTGGTTTAATACTTGTCCACGCAGTAGAATAAATATGGTATTTGATGATGCCTTTACGAGAAAAAACTCGATTTCTAAGAAGAATCAGCCATGGTTCACAGCTTGTTCTTAATTTCCATAATAGTACAAGATTAGTTATTTCATTCAGTAACACCCAAAGAATGAATCCAGAGACCGCCATTACGGAAGGGATAACAAGACTTTTTCCATGAGACCATGAACATCTTGCTTTTATTGATATCACCAGTCCTAATAAAGTTTCTACAAGCTTGGTCAATTTTTCGTAACAGAGCCATCAACCACGAGTAAATGTTGATCGTGTAAGAAATCATGCTATGAATTATAGATTTAACAAGAGTTAATATACCTTCCATAAAAAACAACGATCCTTTCCAAGCTGATAATCTATTCATGATTATGTTAGCCGCATAAGCAAGATGAACAGATTTTGCACGACCTTTGGAAATTGAAATCCTTAAGTAAACAAAGGGGAGAGTACCTTTACTAAAATTGGTACTGCAATAATCTACTCAAGATGATTAGGATTAATAGATCCAACATAAATAAAGGACTTAGTCAAAATGAAATTTTGTCCAGAATTCACAGAATAATCTTGAAAAATCTTCTAAGAGAATGAACATTCTACTGCTTTCTTATGCAGAAAATCAAATGGTCACCTGCATAAAAAATGTGCGATGGAACAAAGTTGTATCTGGATGACTTTATAAGATCAAGATCTCTTTGAGAAGCCAAATTGGATATGCTTCTGCTTAATGCATTCTTTGCCAAGCAAAACAAAAGGGGAGACATGGGATCACCTTGTCTTACTCCACTTTTGCACTTAAAGTAACCCTTCTGAAGACCATTGAAATTAATTGGAATGCTGACAGAAGAAAGGATGTTACTAATCCAGCTACAAAATTATTGATTGGAACCAAACTTTGAAAGAACTTTTAAAAAAAGTTCCTAGCTTATAGTATCAAAAGCCTTGGCAATGTCCACTTTCAAAGCCAAATTTTTGTGTTTGATTTTTATCAAGCACATTGATTGCCTCCAACGCTAGACAGGTACAATCTTGAATATTCCTCCCGTGAATAAATCCTCTTTGCTCTTTAGAAACTAGGAAAGGCATAAGAGACGCCAACCTATCGGTCATAATCTTTGTAATGATCTTGTATTTTAAATTCGATAGGATAATAGGGCAAAACATATCTAAAGTTTGAGCATCTTTACATTTGGGGATCAAAATCACCGTACAAACATTGTAATTAGGCATGATCCACCCCATGTTGAAAAATTGAGTGACGGCCCTGCAAATACCGTCCTTAATAATGTCTCAGTACATATGAAAGAACACTCCCCCAAAACCATATAGATCGGGAGCATTGTATTTGTTGAGGTCTTTGACTTCACCCGAGATCTCATTAGAAGACGAAATCATTGTTAGAATCCTATTTATTTCTGAGTCCACCAAAGAAGGTATTGTGTCGTCCACTAAATTTGTATCTTAAATATTACCTGCAAGACAAAAAAAGTTAGAGAAATAATGTACTGCCATCGTTGCCATGTCCCCTTGATCGGTAATGAGAGAAACACCATCTTTAAGGGCTGTAATCACATTCTTAAATATTTTTATTTTAGTCATCCTATGAAAGAAGGCGGTGTTTCTATCTCCCGAAACATGCCATTGCATATTCACCTTTTCAGCCCAAAAAACTCTTGCATATTTGACTTTTTTCCAACTCAATCATTGCATTTTTCTTCTGGGGTCTAAGAGCATCAGAGGTCCCTTCCACCTAATTTTCTCCTGAATACCTTCAAGATTTGCCATGCAAACAGTAATATTATCATGGATGTTACTAAAAATATCATTGTTTCAATGCTTAAGACTAACATTCAGATTTTGAAGCTTTTTTACTTAAGACATACATGTGGCAGTCAATCACACATCCACTTTTACATGTATTTTGATCTATAAGTTTATAGTTTTTTATTTAAATATTAATATATGTTATGCGACTCTAATTATTTTTTGACTATTAAAAAAATAGAAAAGATTAAAAATTAAAAATCGTATATATAATCATAGAAAAAATTATAAACCCTCAAAATTAATAGTAATTATAATAATACTATATTTTAAAACACATTTGATCTATAAACTCTCAATTAGTATTAATTTAATTTTTAAACTAATTTCTATAGTAATGTTTAAAAAAAAATATAAATAAAATATATCATAAAAGAAATAGAAAAAGTGCATCATTTACAAAACTAACATTTCCACCATATTTCTGTTGTTATTGCCATATTCATTTGTACTAAAATTATTGAAACAAAAGTATTTTCACCATAAATAATGTTGATACTCGATAATAAAATATTTTTCAATACACATTTGTATTTTAAATAAGCTTTGATAACCTTTTATCATAAATATTTTTAGGAAAATTATCGTAAAAATTTCATATACATTCTATTTATCTTTTAATACACATTTGGAATTATTAAAAATAGATAATAAAATAACTCTCATTAAGAAATTTTTTTAGGATTCTATTTGAAATTCTAGAGAGTTCTATTTTATTTTTATAAATAAGTAAAATCTTCACATTATTTTTACAAATAATTCTCAATATCAAATATCTCACTTATCTTTCTTTGCAAACTATTCTTTGTTATAATGGAATCTTTTTTGAAGATTTTTTTTAAGTTTGTTGTGTTAATTGTTGCTATTGTAGGTGTTCATGTTGGTAATGCACAAAAATTACCACCGTGTTGCCAGAAGAATCCTGACTATCCTAATCTTGAATGTCAACCAATTGTGTGTGAGAAGCTCCCATGTTGCGACCCTGGCCAACCTCCTGTCTTTTTTAGTACTATGAAACCAATCAATTTGCATTTGTGAAAAGATTGAATCATTTGTAGTAATTATATGAATAAAATTGGTTAATAAATTATAATTTCTTATTCTCTATTAATGTTTGCTCATGGATGGAGTTTTTTCTTCGTGTTATATATATATATATATATATATATATATATATATATATATATATATATATATATATATATATATATATATATATGAGTCATAAGTTAACCATTATATGAGTAAAACTAAAATAATATTTTTAACGAATCGATTAAGATGATAAATAAAAATTATGTAATAATTTAAATAAAATATTTAATTGAAAAGTTGCATTTCAATAAAGTTGAAGTAAGTGAAAACTTGCAACGATTCATAAAATGATTTAAACTATACGTATCGTTGAGGTGAATACAATTTTCATTTTTAATCAATAATAATCTTCAGATCATAAAATCATGTTTTGCATAAAATTATCTTGTAAATTACAGATAGGCTTATAGTCATTTCTTAATATATATATATATATATAAATATATATATATATATATATATATATATATATATATATATATATATATATATATATATATATATATATATATATATATATATATATATATATATATATATATATATATATATATATATATATATATATATATATATATATATATATATATATATATATATATATTCTTGAGTAAAAAATAATAAACGAGTGGCTTCCCTTTAGGAACAAGGAGAGTCTCAATGGGTAAATTTTTGTAGTATTTGTAGAGATTTGGATGTTACACTGATGTTGTGTATTGACTCAAGATGAATGTCTTGTTTATCCCTTTGATGGGAGTCCCTCTATGAGTTTGTTGTATCTTTGTCTTTTGTCTATTTTCCCTCCCCTTGTTTCCATTCTCCAATGACTCTTTATATTGGAAAGTCTTTGGTCTAATGGCTATTAAGCCATTTTATAACATTCGTAACCTCCTATTTAATTGTTTGTAACATACTTTATAAGTGTTTGTAACTGCTTTATGACCTTTGGCTATTCGGGTATCGTAACCGAAGGTGAGACTTGTACCCGGTTGATTGGAACCCCAGGTGATCCGGGTCATATCTTGGCTTATCTGGGTTTTGGATGTACAATCGAGTCTGACCTCTACTTAGTCGAGCTCTACACTCTCTTGGAAACCAACTTATATTCCTTCACCTAGATAACTCCAAGCCTCGAGTTCACACCTCGATCAATAAAATAATTTTGAGATGTACATAAGCCCCCCCCCCCCCCCCCCCCCGGCACAAAGTCCCAAAAGGAATGAAGTGTTCGGACAAAAGAAGCCCGAAGCTTTTTATCCCAAGTCCAGGTGTGAACTCGTAATATCCAACACATATCATAGTCAGCTCCTTCCACAAAATGTTCTTAGTCGACTAGGTTTTTTAACCTTCGACATCTTGATGTTGGATCCGTTCTGGGGGAATTTCATGTTGACTTATATTGGTGAAGATTTTACAACTTTACTAAAGTCGGAAAAAAACTACGACTTAGATGGAGAAATTAGAGAGTCCTAATGGAATCTCAACCAATTGAAGTCTTTGACCCTGGAAAGTTCTAAGCATAGGTCACTCTTTGTTGATTTATAATTGTTTAGTCATCCTTTGAGAATGCATTATGTAATGTTTGGACAATTTCTCCCTAGTGCATTGTGTTTATGCTTGTATGAGGCCTTTTATTACCTTGAATGCTTTTTGTGTTCTCCTAGCTATTCACTTATAGTTTTATGTGTATATATTATATTCGAGTTTAGTACCTTATAGGTATGTGTTATGTCTATGTCAGAGATATATTGATAACGAGAAAACATATCGTATAATTAACATACTTCTTACCGATTTTATATTCCATTAAGTCGTCTAACCCTCGATTATTCCGAGATTATTTGTCTTTTTTGCAGGTATAACACTTGTCGACTCAAATCAATGAAAAAGGACAACATGAAGAAAGCTAGACGAAAAATAAAGAGAAAAAGAATAAAAAAAATACAAAGTGTGGACTTCTGGATAGGTGACGGTCGTCACGCCCCTGTGACGGGCGTAACACCCCACAACATAAGGAAACGGTCGTCACGCCCTTGTGACGAGCGTAAGACACACTTTAGCGTGTGACGACCGTCACCCACCTGTGACGACTGTCACGCGCGTGAAGGAGGATGTTGCGCATAATTGAAGACGTGGGCGTGAAGGGCAGAATAATTCTTCCTGTTTCTACTGAATCTCCTATTTTATTGCCACAACTATTACTGCTTCTAGAATTTCTCCACGAAGACTTCATCAACAATTCAAAATTAAAACTGCTGATTTTTCCTGCTATATATATGAGTACCAAGGCACAGTCCAAGGGTCGAAGAATTTTACTGAGAGCAATATTTACTTTATCTTTACAGTTATTTCCAAATTGTTTTGTTTTGCAATTCTGCTTCCATTTCCTTGTAATTTTCATTCAAGCCTTAGTTCCTATTTTTAAGTGTTAATCCTTCTTACAAGAATTAACACGAATTTCTACTGCAAGTCAAGCTTGAAGATTCAAATTACTGTATTACCTCAAGATTACTATAGCATCTGTAATTCCAGGTTTTTATATTGCAATTATTATTTATTCGTTTTCTATAATATGCCAATTATTGCCATGAATTGTATTTTGAACTTATTTACTGTTAAGTTAATTATGTCTGGCTAAATTATTAATACCGGTATGTGACCGTAAGAACTGAAAGAATTCAATAAGACCTTGGCCAAAAATATTTATAAAACAATTTCTGGTTTCCAATTTCCAATCTTAATTTAACTATCCTTGTCACGAGAGTGAGAGGTTAATTAACACGATTTTGCCACGAGAGTGGGAAATTAATTAAGGCAAGAACCTGCACGCGAGAGCTGGGGTTCAGCCCAGATAGTGGTAACGAAGCATTGATTTTTAAATACACGAGAGTGTTTTAATAAATTAATTAAATTCAAATTGTTTTCAAAAAGTGTTATTAAATTTAAAGTGCATCCACTAGGTTTAGTAGCATGACTTATTTCATAAACACGAGAGTGTATGTCTCAGGTTTTTAAACAATTAACTTTTACCGAAATACTTTATAGGCCAAGCGGTTCATCGAATTCCCTAAGTCCGATTATCACATACCGGTATAATTAGTACTATTACTTTTAAAACTAAACTGTCTACCCCAAATATCGAATATTCATCGCTTAGTTAGACAAAACTGTAGCATTAGATCGTATGCGATTGATACACAGTCTCTGTGGGTTCGATAATCTTTTAAAACTAGAACAACTAAACTGTATACTTGCAGTTAGTATCCCGATAGACTCATAAAGTCCCGATCAAGTTTTTGGCGCCGTTGCCGGGGACTGGTAGTCAATTAATTATGATTCTTCTGTTGCGCGTTTAGACTAAGCAACAAACACCCTTTGTCGATTTGTATGCCAATGACTCGCTCACAAGGCGAACCACTTGACAAACCGACGAACGAACCTGAACGCATTCTTTCCGTAAGACGTGCAGTCAGGGATTACTGTTTAACTCACGCTATTCCTTTACCCAAACCAGAAATCAAGATTGATTCCGAAACTGATTCTAATTCTTCCTCTGAAACCGAAACCAATCCAGAATTAGACATGGCCGAAGAACAAAGGACCCGTCCACTGAAGGAGTACGCAGCTCCATCACAACAAGAGCCCCATAACAGCATTGCTGCTCCAGCAATAAACCGAAACAATTTCGAGTTAAAGCCGTCATTGATATCAGCTATCCAACAACGCCAATTCTCTGGAGATCCTTCTGAGGATTCGAATGAACACCTTACGAAATTCGTTCAATTTGCCGACACAGTTATAGCGAATGGTGTTAGTAAAGATGCTATTAGATTACGTCTTTTCCCTTTCTCACTAAGAGATAGAGCTTGGGCTTGGTTGCATTCCTTGCCATCAAATTCCGTCACTACATGGGAAGGACTGAAGATCGTATTCTTAGCACGATACTTTCCCCCAAGCAAGACCGCTGCATAAGAGCCCAAATCAACGGATTTAGGCAGAAGGATACTGAATCACTATTCGATGCATGGGAGCGCTACAAAGATATGATACGAATGTGCCCACATCACGGACTAGAAAAATGGCTGATAATCCACACGTTTTATAATGGACTCTTGTACAACACAAGACTATCTATAGATGCCGTCGCAGGTGGTACACTGATGGACAAGCCTTATGACGAAGCTAACCAACTCATTGAAAACATGGCTCAAAACCACTATCAGTGGGGAGGAGAAAGAACATCTGTGGAGAAAACTCAAACCAAAGGCGGGATGTACGAGATTAGTAGCCTAGATAAAGTTAATGCTAAGGTAGATGCTCTTACCCAAAAGATAGAAAGCTTGACCTTACCTCCTGCAGCTACCGTAGCTGCAGTTACCCCAAGCTGCGAAGTTTGTGGAGTACCTGGTCATGTTGGAACCGAGTGTCAAATCTTAGCAGGAATAACGACTGATCAGGTAAATTATGCTCAAGGAAATCCTTATGCCAATACCTATAACCCTGGTTGGAAGAACCATCCTAACTTCTCGTACAAGAGCAATAACGCTTTATATGCACCTGGCCAAGCACCTGTTGTACCTCCAGGTTATCAAAAACCCGCCGGTAATGTTCCTAACATTCCTAAGAAATCTAACCTTGAAATCCTAATGGAAAATTTTTATCGCTAATCAAGCTCAACAAAACAAAGAATTCCTCAATCAAAACGTTCACACCGGTGAACAACTAAAGCTATTAGCAAACAAGGTAGATGCCCTAGCCACTCACAACAAAATGTTAGAAACCCAAATCTCCCAAGTAGCACAACACCAAGCTAGTTCTTCCGCACCTGCTGGTACATTTCCTGGACAGCCACAACCCAATCCCAAAGGACATGCAAATGCTATTACATTAAGAAGTGGGACAGCCCTTGATGGACCGATAGATCCTAGACTCCAAAACCCGAC